TGCACAGGTTTACAGTCCATGGTGGGCAGGTGACAACAGCAGAGTAGAGACTGCACCAGAGTAACTAGGCAGATGAGAGAATTTATTTTTGTTTTGCAGAGATATCTTTTGTTCTCAAACAGTAGCATGGTCTGTACAGATAGAGCTATACAAAAGTGCTGGAGCTTAGAGATAAATTTATTTTTCTGGGTGTTGAACTCAGTTTCTGCAGTTGAAACTGCAGAAGGCAACAGCCACTAAAACAGGATTAGATTAAAAAAGAAAATACTGGATAACCCTATAGGAGTCAGGTGGGAAATTGTGTATGTGCCTTCTGGTGGGAATGCATCGGTTACAGATATGTCTGTTGAGTGTGAGTTATTTCAACTGAGGAAACAGCGAAACACATTGTTTCTCAAAACATTCCCTGCTGCTTACTCTTGACTTTAGTAGGAATATGTAAATGCCCGATTTCTCTCGGTGACTACATTGTGGCACAGGGTGACAATGAAAATTTTTTCCTTCAGGTATGATTTGACTCCCAGGTACAAGATACTATACTGGCAAGTGAAGGGGGAAAGCTTACAATAACAACTGCGTTTGGAAAATTACTCCAAACATAGGAACCTTGATGAAAACTGCTGTGTCTATAGAGAATTAAAATATTAATGGATTTGGTGGATAATGCTTATTTGAGATCCATAATACTTGCTACATTTTAGATAAGATACTTGTCATTTTAACAGCTTTGTACCCTCTGTTAGAACTCTCTAAGCCTAACAACAGGTACCTTATTTGGTTTGGGTTGATCTATATTTATGTGATAAATTTCATCAATATACAGAATAGACTTTGTTTTAAATTTTGGGGAGATGAATTTCCAACATAAATTCACAAATTTCTAACGTTTTTAAAATTCAAAAGTAGAGAAATAGATTATTTATCAGAAGGTTAAGCATGGGACTGAGTATTCTCCATGCACATACTGCAGCTGTACAGTTGTAAAACTAAGAACATATTTGACTTTACAGGGAGCTTGTCAATTTAAAAGAAAAAAAAAGTGCATCTGAAAATATTGCATGTGTTGGTACTACAGAAGTAACTTGAGCTGTTACTGCTGAAAGAATTCATTGTTTTTATTCTTTAACAACATCTAGATTTAAACATAAATTCCAGAGTTGGAAGTATGCCATGTTAAATTCCTTGGAAAAATACCACTTTTCATTTATATTCTTTAGTGTGCAACCTTAAAATAAACTAAAAAAATCTTGTTTTCTTTTTTCCCCAGTGGTGTGGATATGACTGCAATTCTCTTCAAACTTGGTTTCAGTGAATCATCGTTGCAATCTAAAATGGCTGCTGGTACAAGCACATTTGTGTTGGCATATGCTATTCACAAATTGTTTGCTCCAGTACGAATCAGCATTACTATAGTTTCTGTGCCGTTTATTGTCCGATACTGCCGGAAGATTGGTTTCTTCAAGCCTCCTGCCCCAAATCCATGATGATTTCTTACTGGTTTTTACACTGTTTTTTAAATGTTCTATATCCATGTAGCTTTTCAGATTGCTTAAATTTCTTTAAAAGACTTACTTGGATTCATGTTAACACTGACCTCCTCTTGCGTTTCTTACTTGTTCTTTCAGGTGAATGTTACACTGTGCTGTCCTCCTTTCCCTTTTGCCACCTCTTCTTTAGAAAAAACTGTTAAAATGGTATCTGGTTTCTACTGCAAGTGGTAATATAAATGCTTGACAATGAGCAGTTCTGGGTCTTTATGATCTAGCTTTTTGGGCCTTAATTTTTTTCTTGTCCAAATAGAGTGGCAGCATTTGTTTATTACTATGTAGCTGGGAAACAGAGTAAGATTCTCTTCCGAATAGTCTGGAATAAACAATATCCTACTATACGAATAGTTCTTTTGGTAAGTGTATATATTGGAATCTAAGGTGGTAGGTGGATGTTTCTTTTGTTATAGAAGGCATGTATTATGACCCCAGTCTTACAATACAACATGCATGCTGAACTAACTTCAGTGGGAGTGACGTGAGTCTTATTGCACAGTGATAATTGTTCTAGCCAGAATAGGTGATGCACTGTTCTGAAACTACAGCTCCTTCGTGGTGCTTCCATGTTTCAAGATTTTATTGTTTGAAAGTGTGCTTTATTTAGAGGCTAGGAAATGGCCTTATTAAAGTTGGGGTTTTTTTTTAATTTTTATTTTTTTATGCCTGTAGACTCAGATGGAGTCCTGAGTCTACTGAAATCAGCATAACCAGAATTACCTCCTATGTGAACATATTCCAAAGATTATCAAGTCAGAGGCAAGGTATCTGTGGGTTTTTAATGCATTGACATCTGGCTTTGTACTGGCGACACATTTTTTTATCTGGAAACTAACCCTAGCAGCTTTCTGCTCCTGTGGATGAAACTCAAATCTGCACCTGAAGTCCAGACATCACAATTCATAGCTTCTCAAGAGCAATTCCTGTGCTTTTGTCTGACAGACTGTTGAATGTGCCTATTAGAGGGGGCTTTTCATTTCCTTATTTGGATACTATTCTTATTAGAATGTAGTTGCACATGCATATACTCACATATCGCCTTTCAGTTAACCTAAAGGCTGGATCCCAAAACTAGGTAGTCAGGGTAACATTCTGTGGTAAACCTGGGTTTCAGACTTGGGACTGTGCTTCTGTGAGATAGCTGTGGCTCGAGCTATCAGTCCTTCCTATCAGTTCCTCCTTCCAGGTCTGCTCTTTTTACGTTGTCTTTGTGCTTACCCGTACCCCAAGGTGGCTCTGACAGATCTGTTCATACAGGAATCTGATTCAAGTCAAATAGCAGGAAGTAACCCTGGTGATCAGAGGTTTTTTTTTTTTGCTGAAGTGTAGTGAATTGAGAAGAAGGAATCATGTGGTTAGGATGAAAGTTGGCTGAGGGAGGGAAGGAGGAGCAAGTAATTTCTTTCTGTTATGAGCAACTTATTAACTCCACTCAGCCATAACATTAAAGTGCACCCTAACTCCTTTCCCATTCAGGAAGGCCAGCCCATAGGCTGGCTGCCTGCTCTGAGGAGCCTCAGGCTCACAAGTGAGCAAGCAGAGTTTGTGCTCTAGGAAGAGGAGTCACAGCCACATCTATCCTTGTACCTCTGTAGTATTGCTACCTGTGGATTAATCAGAAGTTTTCTCTAAGCCAGGGAAAATGGGAAGAGATGTAGTTTACTTTCCCTGCTCTGTGGCAGCAAGATTTACTGGAGACTGCCACCTGAGAACAAAGAAGCCCTTGCCAAGGGCTTGGTCTCAGGGGGGCTGTGCTGTTAGCGCAAAGGAGGGTTTAGCATCTTCAGATGGAAACAGTTGCAGCAGCGAGCAGGTATGCATGCTAGAGGCTCAATGTATGATACAAACATAGCCTGTCTTTCTTAAGAACAAGTTTTACTTGCACTTATTTTTTTCTCCTGTTCACAGATGCCCATGTTGTGGGTTTTATTCCCCTACATGCCTTCTCTCTTTGTATCAGGTTTAGGGCAATGTTCTGTTACCAAGAATAACAGAAGAACTCCAGAATAATCACAAGGCAGCCTTGTTTTCTTCATTTAGCCACTCATGCCTGATAAGTATGTTTTGTCCTAAAGTTAATAGAAAATGAATATTCAAGCTGCTTCTTCAAAAAAAAAGAATCTTTCTGTAAAGCAGGAATCATTTAAAGCAAATGCACCTAAAAGGTTAAGTCACCAGCACTAACTAGAGATTTTCTTCCTGTAAAGAAAGAGAGCTTCCATTTAAATTATGACCAGAATTCAGATTACCTATTAAGAGAACTATGGTTGTGTAAACTACTGGCAATTTGTTCAGATGAAGTTTTTTGCAAAGTATATTTTAAATTAATTTGAGAATATATTTTGAATTCTAGAATCATTACTTGTAAAAGGATCATTTTTTTTTAAATGGTTTGTAAAATAGTGAAGATGACCTTGAAGTCTTAGAATGAAAATATAATAAATGGCTTTCTCTTAGTTTGCTTGAAGTGTTTTACTGGAAAAGAGTTGGTTTGGACGTTTTCTTGGCAAGTGCTGAGTGGCCTGACCCCTTGCTACACTTCAGGGAATAATGTCTTACACCACCAGATGTTAACATTAGTTCCTGTTACATATCCTGTTTGATAACAATACTTTCCAGACCCTTCTCTTAGAAATGCTTTGAATGACTTTGAAAAAAAAAAAAAGCAGGCCTAGATTTTAGTGGTTGTAGAAAACCCACAAGGTTAAGTAGCAACACATTTGGTACTTACCTTGTAATCCTGTGTTGGGAGTGTAGAGTAGTAAGTGACCGTATCTCCTGTGTGGCACCAGCTTCCTTTTTGACAGAGGTAGGAAGTAAACTTGTTTTGTGATCATAGGTGAAGACTCAAGCTGTACTGATGGTAAAGACAGGTGGTTAAGAGACAGCCAGTGGAAGTGATAAATGCCATAAGGAACCTTTCCATGCTGGTGGCAGTATATAACAAGTCTTTATTTTAAAAGTTGAGTGCTCACATTTAAGACAAAATAGAGCGAAAAATAACGCACACATCATTTCATAGGACACAGAGAAATGCACTCGCCTCACTCAGTTTCATATTACACCACAGTTGTGATACCCTTAGCAGCCCAATAAGTTAGGAGGCAGGTATCTCCGGGATATTGCACTGTTCAATAAGCTAGAACACCACCTTCCTCTTGTTGTTGGAACAATGAACCATTATCAGGACAGACCTCATAAGAGCCTTGAACAGCTTAATACTTACATCAACAAACCTGGCCCACATGTAACTGGATTTCAAGTATATTAAGTATTCCACAACCTCCAGCTAAATGTCAAATAATTTTACATTGTAATTAGAGTTTAAGACAGCCAACCCAAAGATTTGCATTCCAATTGCCACTGGATTCCAAGACCTGCTTTTCCTATTGTAAGCATTATAGTAGTCACAGTACAAGACTCCTTGCTGATCCCATGAGGTTACCCCTGCTAAGACTATGTTCTGGATGGGGCAGCAACATCACTTTTTCTGCTGTTGGGCATCTTTGTAGAGTTTGCTGTAATCCAGGGATGAAGAAGTATATCCTTCAGGGGCAGTCGATGGAATGGGTTATGCTTCAGAAGCTTCGAAATTAAATCCCTCGCACCTTCTGTTACAAATGGAGGAAACTTGAATTCCACCTAAGGAAAAGAAAGGACACGAAAGATGATGCGTGCAAAGGATGTGTGGCGAGAAACGACAGGGGGGGGGGGGGGGGGCTCTACCCTCCAAGGTAGATCTAGAAAGGAAAGCTTTGTGGGCTATGCACCTCATGCCTATTGAGGTGAGATTAAGTAATTTCATCATAATCCTGAAGAATACAAGGTTCTTGCTGCTTGTAAAAGTTAAGCTAATGTATTTTTTCGATGTACTTCAAACAAGATTTGTTTGCTGGAACCTTTCTAGGGTACGCAACAGGAAAAGTTAAGCTTGTGTATTTTTAGTAACACCTTGAATGTTAAAATATTGATTTTATAAATTAGAAAAGGAAAGATGTGGAGGAGGTTAGTTGCTTTATGGAAGAGGTAGAAGTTCAGATGCAGGCAGAAATAGGGTAGAACCAAGGAAGTAAGGCAAGGTATCTTAAGGTCTCTTACAGTCATTCTACTGAATGACTGAAGACAGCTTTAGGGATCTAGTTTTATACATATCATTGTCTTGCTACAGTTCTAGTTATAATACATGCCCTTCTTCAAGATGACCATTTGTTAAGCTTCAATAAGACAATAAAAGTGAAAGGCAGCACAATTCAGCTAGTGCAAGTAAGTGTGGGCACATACCCTGGAAATAGCTCTGTAGGTTTCCTGGTATGTTTCTGCTTCAAAAGGTGGTTTCCCTA